CTGCGATCAAAAAATAAAATACGGTATTTGCTCTTTGACAAACAAGAAGCTGTTTATACAGAGTGGATAAAGTCCCCAAACATGTCATATGTGAAAATACAGGGACATCATTATTTCCTTTTGTCCGTGATACATGCTACACGCGCATAATTTAAAAGATCTTACTAAACTCCTAGAATGAAAACGCAAGAGCCGGTTTACGAAAGCACGTGACCAATTCTACGCCAATCAGACGTCGCTAAACACGATTAAAATATTCTGTAAACTGGCCTTAAGTCTCTCTAAACAGAACTTTAATTTTCAAAAAAAAAATTGAAACAGTTTTAAAAAACAAGCAAAACTAGGGGTATTTTTCACTTTTTTTCATAGAAAAGTCATTGTATATCTAGAATAAATTACAACGAATACACAAAAAAGAAATGGTTAATAACAACTTCCAAAGCTATTTCTAAAATGTAACACGAAATATTTGCTCATGTGGGTAATACAATATTTTAAAACTGAAACATAGGTTTTTAGAATATAAAGAAACTGCAATCTTACTCTTAAAAATACATTGCGACTATTTTAATACATCAAGTTAATTTTGTGACACAAAATCGCAAAAATATGTAATAAATAAATTAAGTGTTTACATTTATTTTATAATTGCTTTTAATACAAAAAATAAATAAATGCGTATGCTTCAACTGGAAAAAAAAGTTTGACCCCGACGTGATTTGAACACGCAACCTTCTGATCTGGAGTCAGACGCGCTACCGTTGCGCCACGGAGTCCTTGCTCACTGCAATTTCCTCCCCATACTTACCGAAGTCATATTTGAACGATAATTTCATTGGGTACTCTTTATTATCTATTTAAGTTATTAAACAAAGATAAACATACACAAATGGTGATGACTACTACAGAATAACACGTTTCGTTCCTTAATTACATTCATTTACGGGTACACAATTCTGAAATTTATTTATGTTCAGACATTTGACTCTCCATTATTAATATGGAAGCTACTTACGGAATAATAAATTTTCGACGAAAAATATTTCACAAAAATGCTCAGACGGCTAAATTAACTTGTAAGTCTACTTCTTCGAATGGTGAGAACACAACCTTTCAATTATGGCGTGGCATTTTAACTGGAGTAATATACGCTTTTTGTGCGTCTGTGCGTTATTAATAGACAAATTAAGGGCGTTCTACACCCGTTCGAACACATTTAAGTTTTTTGCCGCTTTCTTAAAACTATTTTTGGGTTTTTGTAAAAATATCAATATTTCACGAACTATGTATTAAAAACAAACAAAATAAATGTTCCAATAATTCAAACAAGCTAATTTTAAATGGTAATACGTCAAAAAAATACATATATTTACTTTGAAAAATAACATACATCTAGGCAAAGGAACCACCTTAAGAATAATTGCAAATTCAACTATACGTTTCAACTGCCAGGGTGAAATGTTTGCCAAAAAGTAGTAATGTTTTATCTTTCGATATTTATTTTTGATATGTACAAAGGTATAAATTTACAAGTAGAGCTCCTAAAATGACCTAGCTGTATGTGTCACTATCATATTAATTATTACTGCCTACTTGTACGGAGTCATGCAATATTTAGACTTCCGCACAGAACGGTAAGGATTTTTGCAGATCTTGGTTTCAAGAACTCTAGTAAAAAGGTACCTCCAGCCCGATCTCCGTACTCTGTTATCAAAGTGAAATATATATATGTTGAACCTTACAAATAAACTTAATTATTCACAATTACAATTACGCTACCCGTAACAAAATTGAATTATGCTTAAAAAATGAGTCTAAAGTTATTTAGACTGAACTTTCGTCGCACCTGAAGTCAAACATTTAGACAAATTCAATAAGTTAGAAGAAAACATTGAGAAGGAAAGGGTTCAAACTCCCGCGAGCAAAGCACAAGATAAATCTAGACGGTCACCTCGTTATGCGCATAACACAAATATCAACTAAGTGACACTCGTGGCAAACATTTTTGTAAAGTAATTGCCATAAAGATCAAGGCTGTTTCATAAACTACAACTACAGGAGTATGTTATTTTATAACATTTACAGTGTATTGTTATGAAACATTTTGGATGGCCGTCAGCACATTATTGGTCAAGATGATCGGACGTAAACAGGAAACCAATATTTTCATATTCTAGGGATAATGAAACATCGAGGAAACATTCGCTGCATGGAACCTACTACAATACTTAATTAGCTTACGCTCGGAAAGTACAAAAGTCTAGATTTGCCACAGCCAACCTCTAACAAACATGAAACAATACTTATTGATTAAGGTATTTTATACTCTTCAGAAATATCTTACTTCAAGTAGAAACGTACAATTATATTGTTGGTTCGATACTGTGGAATAAATACATACCTATATCCAATTTTAACTTTAATTGTAGCCAAGTGTATGTTTTATTTTATTATTAAATAAGATTTTAAATAGACTGAGTAGCCAAATGTCTGTACAACGTATGCTATGACCACACACTATAGTCCAAAATATCAACAAAACACGTATTACTATATTAAGTAAAATATATGTATATATCTATTTCAAGCAAAAAGAACAAATTTTAGAACGTCATTCGTTAAGTTAAAAATATCAAAGACAAATCAATAAGTATCCACATTCAAGAAAACTAATTTATATGTTCCGGGACTGTTATAAACTATGATCGGTATACTTACGACACATGTGAAACGTAATTTCGCATTTTTATGTTGGATAAACTACCGAGAAAGCAATAAAAATACGATTAAAGACAGCCATGGATTTTTGAAAGTTTGATCGTTGCATTTTCAACTCAAACTTTCAAATTGACGATAATTCTATCAAAGACAAAACTTCACAAAGCCATGGCTGTTTTTGAGCGTGTTTTTTTATTGTTTTGTCGCTATTTGAAACTGAAAACGACAATAGAGAATCAAGCTTGACATCATCATAGATGGTATTTTTTCACTTAAAAAATTCTAGGTTAATTGATTTTGGGTAAAAAAACTTTTCGTCCCGTTTGAACTAACATCCCTGGGAAGCCCAGAAAATGGTTCTATTTACATCAGTCGAAAAATTTGATAACAACGCAAAGAGCAATTGAATTTAACAGCGGAACTCATTTGTTTAAGACTGCGAGGTACAAAAGAAATTACTACCATAAAAATTAAAAACAAAGTTAACATTTATTAAGTCACCAAAATAGAAATCACATTTCACAGAAACAAAACGGCCAGAGTTGTATGTCCAAATTTTATCCAGATACATCATTAATGGATAATACAGTGGTAAATATAAAACACCATTTTCACTCAAAAATATCTGTTTATTTATTAATACACATTAATAAATACAGTTTTTTTTTCCCAAAATGTACTATACCACTTTTAGCACCAGACCTCCCACACACTTTTCACCCACTTTGTAGCTACTCAAGATCACAGTAGCAACAAAAATACGAACTTGTTTAAATTATTCAAGAAGGTACAACAGATAAGAGCACGAACACCTGAGCTGCTTATTGGATCATTAGCATCGATTCATGTCACGTGAGACAACATTTAACGTTGAGTTAGTTCATTTTAAACACTCGCTTACGTTTTCATACTTTGTATTAAAAGTCATAAACTTTTACCGGATAAATCTTGGAAACATTTATATCTGCATAATTACTAATCAAGAAACAGCCAAAACTTTTAATTGCACGAAAGACGACTCTCGATGTCCTATGCAAATACTGGCTTCAAAATCCAACTATAACTTAGCTTACTTTCTTACTGACGCAAGAAAATAGAAAACTTACTTCGTAAGTCCAAACGGCTCAGTGTATCGATTAACGAAGTGTTTTCCTAAGTTTTCCCAACTATTTGCTGCGAAAAGTAAACTACTACAACATATAAAAAGTCAAAAGGATAAAGAAAATATTAACAGTACCGCTTCGAATTTAGTTAAATTACTGAAGACAAAAGACGTTACGCAATAAAGATCTTCATTAAATTGCTTCATTTATATTTAAATTCAATTGTATACCGAAACAGATCATTTTCTTCATTTATATTTCTCTAAAGTTTTTAACATAATAGAATACATAATAACAGAATATACAGGGTGATTATCACTGTTCATTATTCCAAGTTGGTTATCGATTTTCCATTTTATTTTGACTTAATTAATAATATAACAATAAATGTATCTAGTCAAAATATTACAATATGAATCCCTTGATCTGAATTTTAATGGCAAAAAATATGAGATACACTATCTAAAAAAAAATTCAAGGAATCTTTTTTTCTACACAGATACATCAATAATTGGTATTTTTAATACCACATACTATTTATACATTTGCAGATAACTTCAAGATACTTTTGCCACACCAAAAACAAAGTTTAATGATTACAGTAGGAGATGATAAGATAGTGTCATTCAAGTTATAATTAATAAGTAAGTAACCTCAATTATAAATTTGTGGCGACCTTATTCAGAAAAATAATAATATAGTTTGTCCTGCAATAAATCTTATAGCAAAAAATTGTAGATAAAATTCACAACCAATAACATTTAGCACATTGCATCACCATTAGTGTTTGTTAGCTGCTTCTTAAGATAATGTTAAAATAAAGGTTATACAAAACAGCTCAACTGACCTACAACGTGATTTCAATGGCTGTAAAATTATTGACATTCTTAACTTAACAAAAAACATAAGTAATTTATAAGACAATAACTTGCAAGAACCTTTTTTCCTTACCTTGAATTCAGATTTCGAAAATTTATCAAACTTAATTACGACTATGACTAAATGTTTTATTTATTGAAGAAAATTCCGTCTATATTGACGTACAGAAATATCTTCTGTTGTTACTTTTAGCACCCGAAGTCAAAAGCCTGCAGCTTTTAATCATTAATGTAACACGACTCTGTAACTTCTGAATTCTCTAACCGACAAAGAAGAAGAAAGTATTATTAACTCACTCACCTAGTTGGACATACATCTTCGGCCTCACATTTTCCTGCCAAGCCGCAAGACACGCGGAGAACGCGCACGCGGCTACAACAAAAAGGCTTTTCATAATTAAACAGCGCTACCACCAAAACATGTCAAAAAATCACAACACTCAAAAAACACGAATTGCTCGTTAAAACTATAGGGTAGTTCTCATCACAGATTGAAAGCACTATCGAGAGCAACACAACACATTTGTAGTTCTTAATGTAAAAAAAAATTGACGACGCGTTGCGGCGCAATCCAAACAGACGCTTGACGTCGACTGGCAAAGCTTCGTCGCGACGCCGGTGCCAGCTGACTTCCCCTCCACTTGCAATGCGACAGTAGCGCCAGCAACCTGCAACGGACATGTAGACAATTAGACGGGGTGCATGGACCGTGAAGAATTAATATCACATAGAAGGGATGTATGGCAGAGCGCAGACCGATGGAACGGCCCAACACGACAATGCAGTCTCATAATCCTAATTACCATTGACGGTCAACGAACGAGACAAACCCCACATTACCCATCTCTACACCAAGAAGTAAAAAAATGTAAAGTGACAATGTCATTAATTCAAAGAAATGCAGCTGCTGTAATATTCAATTTATGTTAATATAATTCTCATCAACATTTGTTCGAAATATTTGTAAAACTATACACGTAACGGATTAAAAGTGAGCTTTAGGGAAACTCAAACCGTATAATGGCTTGTCTCTTCTTTTTGTTATCTTTTTTTTTTAATAATGGCAATTCCAAATATCAATATCCATCTCCGGTTTAAATGGAAAAGAAGCCCTTTACTCTCACCGTGGAGTGGAATCTGTTAATGATCTTCTATATCTTCTACCGTTAGGTATCTTGAAATATTTTTTTAATGAACAGCGTGTTAGTTGAACGATAAAATTCATTTTAAAATACTTACAATAAACTAGAATATGAAGAAGAAACTGCAGGTATTTTAAGTCCTCAGAAGGACCGGAAGTTGGTAAAGTTCTTATCCCTAACACTAAAATCAACCATCGTGCATACGATGTTATACACACGGTTATACCAAAGTGTAACGGAATTATGAAACCCAGTCGTAACTTTGAAACTATCAATTTCAGCAAAGCATAGGAAGATGACACCATAACTTTAAGATAAACGACCTAAATTACTAGCGTAGCCTTGAATTATGCACTTTAATAGTCTCTCAAGAATTTGTTTGCCAGCATGTGAAGTAGCAAAACTGTTGATTCTATAAAACACTTCAGGACTAGTCGGCACTAAAAATTGAAATAATTGATGTAATTGGTGGTGCTGATTGTGTGAATGTTGTTGTCATACTTTGGTTAATCAACACATATCAACTAATTTTGGAGAAATTCGCATCGTTTTACTGAAAGTATGTGTACGCGTCAAATACATCAATAATAATGCATTAGGTAATAGACAGTTTGTGACGAAATGTAATGAAAGGTGTAAGTATTTAAAGCCCCATAAGGAAGCAAATTTGATAAACCTGGCTAATGACAAAGCATCGATCCAATTTGTTTACAGTATATAGAAAATTATAACTGGAAAATTATGAAGTAAGGAGAGTAAAAAGGGCAAACAAAATAGATCAACATAATAATAATAATAATAATAATACAGCAAATGAACAATGATGTCTTTTTAAGAAAAAACGCAAGCCACCTTGTCAATTACGTCCTGTAATCGTTGCGACATTGATGAAACTAATTGTTGAGTATATTCTAGTGTAATTTGTTGCCAAGTGTACGCAATTTTTTATTTCAATTCGAATTAAGTTTGCGGTCAAAAGTTCTCTTGGTGAATTATTTTCACCATGTAACTCCAAATATTTTCAATGGGATTTAAATTAGGACTTCTCGACGGCCAAGATAGGGCATTGATATAGGATGATCCTTGAACGACGTATTGGATAGTTATCCTATAGTTATAAGTAATTTTAATTTAATAAAATTGTCTCAAAAAACTGACAGAACTGGACCTCTTAGCCTTATTCATCCACAAAACTTTACGGAGAAACGAGAACTTCTATAATTCTTCAAAGAACTGTTTCAAGAGAGCCTGGAAAATTGGTTTCTTTTCTAGTAAAAACAGCTGTCTGAAAAAAAAATGTCTCCAATGAAACTGACTAATTCAATTCTGCTGCAGTTGAGATCCTAGGACGTGACGACAGGTTTATTTCTGATACATCCATATTCATGAATCTTTCGTTCAATTCGCAATACCTGTTTTTGTTAACATTTAATTCGCTGGCAATTTGCCGTATGATATCTCCATTTCTTAAGTAAGTAGCAATTTTTGCCTTTTGCATGTCATTTAGGCAAGGTATATTTAAAAATTCCATTTTCTGAAATTTGTCATTTTGACAAACAACTCCCATGTTGACTAATCAATTCATTCATTTTTTGCGAACCAAATTCAATCAAAATTTCCCTGAATGACAATTTTTTGAGCACGATGTTAAACAGATTAAAAAAATTTGACATTTCAGGATTGTTTGACGATTCCGTATTTTGGGCAGAAGAGCAGGATCAGGCTCTCATGATTATCTAGGAGAAAATCCAATACAGTGGGCAGTAAATGCAATTAACAGAACCATTTTCATACATCTCGTAGTATTGCCTGTCGCAAAATAAAAAACCGTGAATTGGAGAATTACTGTAATGCCAAAAAACCGTTCCTCACAATTCATCACAAGGAAGATTTGCGCTGGAATACCTACACAGACATGTGAGACAGCATAATCTCTTCCGACGAAAAAACCTTCAAAGCATCCAATAGTGGTGGAGTAAGGATCTACTAACCTACAAACGCAAGGTTTGAAGAGAGATCTACCAGCAGCACGACGCACCTGGCCGCTTCTCTGTGAATGTATGGGTCTAGATTAGCTCTAAAGGTCCAGGTGTTCATAGTCGAAGAAAGACTGATACATACTCAGAATACAGAAAATGTTATGGTATGTTATGTGTGGTATTTGTTCCCCGAAAATAATTTTGTAATCAGCACGATAATAGTCCAATTCAAAGTGCAGGAATTGTTCAACTTTCGGCAACAAAACAGACAGGAGCTAATAGATGGGATTCGGGATAGATAGCCAGCATTAACTCCAGAATATTGCGGCGACTAACAGCGTCAATGGTTAGACGCCTAAATGCTCTTGTGCAAAACAAAAGTAAATATTAATTGAATATAAAATTGACTTAACATATCTTTTTGTAAAGTATCTTACTTGTCATAATACACTCCCAGACAAAAAAAAACCCGGACACTTTTTGTGATAACCTGTAATTGGTCGACCTTTTGTAAAAAATACTCCAAAAAGCAAAACATTAATGTACTCATTAACAAAAAACACAACTTTAGTCTAAAACATGTGGAAACCGAAAAAAAGTAAAAAAAAGTCAACATTAGCGTAAAGTTATAAATATTCAAGTGTCCGGGTTTTTTGTCTGGCAGTGTATTTTAACCTCGCTATTTAAATTCCGCAACAAACTAAATGAAAAACACTGTAAAAGTGAAGTTTAACTTGCTTGTCATTGTACCGCTTTTTATAAAACCAATAATTCATACAAACTATTGAACACGCCTCAACAAAAAAAAAAAAATGAAGTTTGTATGCTTGAGTGAATTAGTTAATGAAATATAATAAGCACTTGCAGATAAAAAACAACGCATTCTTGAAATACATGGAGATGTGGCATTTATTGTTTATAACTAAGATGAAAACATGGAAACGTCAAAACACATCATCAGTTTCGATAGATATTTATAAAATTCAAGAAAAACTAAAATATTAGTTAATGTCATTTTTTGCAAATCGAAATTTCATTGACGTGTATCTAAATTCACAATACTGAAACGTCAAACAATCCTGAAATGTCAACACTTATTTGGGTAAGCGTGCTTCATACGTATTTTAGCAACGGCACGTGCTTTCTGTCCCTCATGACGTCCCGCCCCATTTAAAACCACACGAAATCTAAAGGATGAGTTAATTAATCAAAGTAAAGCAAACACATTACTTATCCAGACCATAAATACTATCAATTTTATTAATTATCTCAAAACTCATTGTGGAATGAATTGCTCCTTTATCTGTTTGACAGCATTTTCAGGTCACGTAGGTAGGCATAATTAATCGTAGTTAGAAATTACTTTACTAGTTTTTCTATCTGATCCCACTAATTCAAAGTGAATTTTGGAAATTATTTTTATAATTATTAATTTACTGATTCAAACGAATATAACAGCGTTCACTTTTCTTTGTTAATTCAAGAGGAAAATTTTTAAATTTAAAGATATGAATAAAGGCATCTTTACTAAATAAAAAAAAACCTCTAGTTACTTATTGGTCGCCTTTTGGCATCAAAACGTATGTCTGCATTTATATCGGCAGATATGTCAAAAAAACAAGTGAGGTTATAACGAATAGTCCATTCGCGATACCTATACTTACCATAAAACCTTTATTGTTAGTAATTCATCACTACGTATTCATATTTATTGTACTACATCTACGACTTTATGATAAAGTGGTAGCTTACGTGAGACTCTGCTTACATCCAGCCTTGGATATCAGTTCATTCATAAAACCAGTGCGACAGTAACGGAACACTTTGTGGTGAAGCGTGGCTAATGGCAAATTTTATGACAGCTAGAGGCTTTACAAACACACTATAGTTGTGCCAGTATGCTATTTATACTCGAATATAATTACCAAGACTACGCATCGCAATGTACTTTTTTTTCATAAAAATTTTATTTTTTTGAGACGACATGATCAACTTTTTATTATTATTAATATATATTTATTCTTTTTTTTTTAAGAAAACGTCATCAACTTCCTAAAGGGATGAATGAGTAAATTTTAGTGAACGTTCTATTGTCACTAAATCTATGTTAGTCTTAACAAAATTTCAAAAAAGTCCTTTTTTACAACAGTTCGTGTGTGTAAAGTTAAAAATATAAAGTAGCAAGTAAAGCAGCACCACGTCACGCTATATTTCAATTGATATTATTTAACAAAGTTTTGAGATAACATTTTTTGGCGTAGATTGATTATACCATCTGCACAGAAATCTTAAAGTTCATCTAAAATTTCACAGTAATCAGTTCCGAAGTTTTGAAGACTCTTTATCTGTCTGCTAAAATTACCATCACACAAACGAGGGCTTATAAAAAGTAAAAAGAAACAAGTTTTCACTAAATCAATTAATACATTTACCTTAAATCGTGTTTCTAATTTTATCTTATTATTATCACTTTAATCAAGAAAAGTCTAAATTTAAGAAAGTATGTACATATGAAACACTTTCTCAGAAGAAGTCACTGCCTTTCAT